TGTTAAGATCAAGTCCAAGAAACTGAGCTTAGATTAGCATTTGATTGTATTGAGCACTGCTTGACCTAAAGAGGTCTGTGGTTGTGGTATTAAGCTCATGAGTATGTTTATCTGGATGCCCCTTGAGTAGCTGCTGCTTGTCAGGATGTGACTTCAGAAGTAGGACATGCCCTGTATTCTTAGTTCTTGGAGACTATTTTTGGTCATTGATGGTGAATGATTAAGTTTTTAAAAACAAAATTAAAAAGAATGGTTTTAAGTAACACCAGCTTCCACAAATGTCGACATAATAATGTTGTCGCCAGTTTTGTTATATGGCTTTTTTTTTTTTTTTTACCTAAGAGAGAGTTTTGCTCTTATTGCCCAAGCTGGAGTGCAATGGTGCAATCTCGGCTCACTGCAACCTCCCCCTCCCGTGTTCAAGTGATTCTCCTGCCTCAGCCTCCTCAGTAGCTGGGATTACAGGTGCCCGCCACCATGCCCAGCTAATTTTTTGTATTTTTAATAGAAACAGGGTTTCACTGTGTTAGCCAGGCTGGTCTCGAACTCCTGACCAGAAGTGATCTGCCTGCCGCTGCCTCCCAAAATGCTAGGATTACAGGTGTGAGCCCATGCTCCCAGCCATATGGCATCTTAATGGGCACATTCTGTGTTCATTGATCCTATAGTTATTTTCTCAGATTTTGGAGTACTTTACAGATCCTTGTAGTAAAGAGAAATAGCAAGTGCTTTTAGTCAATAGACTGCAGTGGAAACTGTGGCAATGCTTCCTTCACCAGCCCTTCGCTTTTATCATCACTAGTATCAGCATCACTTAGATAAAAAGATGATGCTGCCCCTACAAGGAGTTAAAGCCAATTCCATGTAGAGACCTTTTGAAACTAGTCCAAAGGCGTCATCTGGGGAATATTTTGCAGTCAGTATTTAGTACGTGTTGAAGGAAAAGTGAAAACAAGGGAGGGTGTCAGAAACTTTCATGAAAGGAGAAATTCTTCTCCAGGCCTCTTGAGCTTTGGATTACGGGTCCAAGGCAACAGAATATTTGAAAGAAAAGATTATCAAGATGTTAGAGTATTTGCTTGGTGTGGTGGCCCATGCCTGTAATCCCAGAACTTTGGGAGGCTGAGGAGGGCAAATCATCTGAGGTCAGGAGTTCGGGACCAGCCTGGCAAATGTGGTGAAACCCCATCTCTACTAAAACTACCACAATGTACAATAATTAGCTGGTCGTGGTGGCTCATGCTTGTATTCGCAGCTACTCAGGAGGCTGTGTCCCCCTCCCCAAAAATGTTAAAGTATTGATTTAAAATGAAACTTTAAAACAAGTTTGAAGATGAATAGCAAGAAATAGTGGCAGACTGCCAAATGAAATGTGAAAGTTTTATTTTGACAAAAGGCAGATTTCCAGCACCTTTTTTTGTCTTTTTAAGAGTATTTTATGTTCTGTGAACATTTTGGAGATTTAAATTTGAATATTGCATTTTGCTCAGAAAAAAATGGTGGATATGATGGCTGATTTTTACCTTTTAAGTGGCTCTAAAGGCTGGGAAGGTGGCTCACACCTGTAATCCCAACACTTTGGGAAGCTGAGGTGGGAGGATCACTTGAGGCCAGGAGTTCTAGACCAGCCTGGGCAACAGGGAAGACCCCATTTCTATGTGTTAAACATTTAAGTAGCTCTACTGTGTTTTAGAATAATTTATCTAACAGTAAGTATATGAGTCAGTTAATGTTTAATGCAGTGGTGGGGCATTGTGCTGAAGCTCAGTCATGCTAAATTTAATATTTCTGGTGCTGGACACAGCTGTTTCCACTTGTTATAATTTGCTGTATCTAATGTACACACATGTATATGGGCTGGAGGCTCAGTCCTAAAGTCAGATAAGCAGACACAGAGAAGAGAGCTGTTGCTTAGTTTTAGAGAGGACTTTTTTCTTCCCTCAGCTCAAGCTGACCCTGTGGAACTGCTAGTGGAGATGCTCTTGTTAGATACTGGCTGGAACTTGTCAGGCTCGTCCGTGAGGCTCTCTCATGTGCTGACCCTCGCCCGTCTTTCCAGCTTCATCTCTGCCACATTCTCCCTTCAGTGTTCACTGTAGCATACCCCTTGCAGTTCCCAGAAAGTGCCTCGTCGTGTGCTTCCCTCTTAATTCCCTACTGCAATGTCATCCTCCTTACGCCGCGCCACACCAGGTAACCTCCTTCTCATCCTACTGAGCACCCTTCCTCGACTCTGCAGCCTATGTTGGTCGTCCCTGTCTCCTTGGTTAATATCTTGTCTATATCCACACATGGCTCATGTTCAGTCTTACTGTGTCTGCCTTCCGCTAGACTGCAGGTCCCTGAGCAGACAGAGACATGCCTTCAGGCTTGAGTCGCTGTGAGTGAGTGCCCTGGACATGTAGGTGCTCAGGGGGTGCTGGTTTGTTGGGCGTGGTTTCCTGTTGTGCCTCCCTGCCTCCGGCGGGTGTTCTGTCCTGAGCGTATCTTGCCTACTCCATTCCTTTTCCACGTGGGCAATGCTGAACATTACCCCAGCGTCTGTACCTTGGGTAGTACCTGACGTTGAAAGTATTTAGCACATAGGCAAAGGCCACTACCTCTTTCAGGGACAAAGGCTAGGGAGCTGCTGCCAGGCGTGACTCTAGCGCATTCCTTTGCCTGTGTGTTGCCGGCTGTGTATCTGCTTCTTGCATCACAGTTCCAGAGTCCCATTTAGCTTGACTTGGGCTGGGCCTTGCGGATGCTGCTCCTTTACCTCCTGACCCTGCTCAGCCAGGCCAGCAGGGGTCGCTGCAGGAGGAAGCCCCTCTCCCGTTCCTGTGTGCTTCTGTGGTGTTCGGACCTTGTTGGCAGTGCCCCCCAGGGCCCAGTGCAAGTGGGGACAGTGGCGGCAGCACCTTTTCATGACAGGCCTGCCAGCACCCACTGCCTCTCGGGTGGCTTCCTGCGGATGCTTCTGTGCGCACCTGGTTCAGCAGGAGGCTTCTCCACGTCCAGGGGGCTTCAGCCACACCTTCCCCCGCCGTGTCTCAGCCCAGCCTTGGGGACCTCTGTCCTAGCCCCCCTGGTGCCCTCCTTCAATCCTCATACCCATTAGTGCTCTCTTCCCCCCATTAGTCAGTTCCCTGTTCCTCAGGCCCCTGTTAATAATTCTTCATTAAACTTCATTCACATCACTGTGTGGCTTCTGTGTTCTGATTGGACCCCAGCTAATACAGATGCCCTCTGCCTAGTTGGCTGAAGGAACCATACAGGCTTTTCAGGGACCAGCCTAAATGGCACTTCTGTCACTCGGCAAACATCTGAGTTCCTGCTGTCAAATAGGCACTGGACCACCCTCAGGGAAGTGAGACCCAGCTTCAGCCCCACAGGAGCTCCAGGACTGGGAGGAGAGCAGTAATGAAGTGTGCAGAGCTAGAGAGGAGGGGTGTGTGTGTGTTTGGGAGAGTGCAATGTGACAGAAACTGGAAACAGAAACTTAAAATTTTAGTGTTCTTGTAGGAGCTAAAGGGACAGATAAATGAGAATTCATGAAATTGATGAATACCGCTCTGAGCATAAGTGATATCCCTAATACAAAATTTAACCAAGTGTGGTTTTGTTTGTGACTAGTCTTTCCCTTTCCACCAATCACTTGAGGTAGGTGAGGTTTTTTTGTTTTGTTTTGTTTTTTTTTTTTTTTTTTTTTTTTTTGAGACGGAGTTTCACTCTTGTTACCCAGGCTGGAGTGCAATGGCGCGATCTCGGCTCACCGCAACCTCCGCCTCCTGGGTTCAGGCAATTCTCCTGCCTCAGCCTCCTGAGTAGCTGGGATTACAGGCACGTGCCACCATGCCCAGCTAATTTTTTCTATTTTTAGTAGAGACGGGGTTTCACCATGTTGACCAGGATGGTCTCGATCTCTCGACCTTGTGATCCACCCGCCTCGGCCTCCCAAAGTGCTGGGATTACAGGCTTGAGCCACCGCGCCCGGCCCTGTTTTGTTTTTTGAGACGGAGTTTCGCTCTTGTTACCCAGGCTGGAGTGCAATGACGCGATCTCGGCTCACCGCAACCTCCGCCTCCTGGGTTCAGGCAATTCTCCTGCCTCAGCCTCCTGAGTAGCTGGGATTACAGGCACGCGCCATCATGCCCAGCTAATGTTTTGTATTTTTAGTAGAAACGGGGTTTCACTATGTTGACCAGGACGGTCTCGATCTCTTGACCTCGTGTTTCACCTGCCTTGGTCTCCCAAAGTGCTGGGATTACAGGCTTGAGCCACTGCCCCCGGCAGTAGGTGAGGTTTTATTTAGTCTTCTCATCTCTGAACTCCTAAGGGGCAGGGACTGTCTTTTACCTTAATTATCTTTTACCCACAATGATTGTTATGTACTGGAGGCATAATAAATGCTAGTTTACTGAATCAAGAGTGTTTATATTGAGTTGATCTATTCTGTGTTCCATTTTCTACTCCAAGAAAGCCCAAATCTGCCAGTGTATAGACCGCTAACTCTCAGGTATCCCTATTTCATAGTCATGGAAACTGATGTTAAGTAACTTACCCAAGGCTGCGCTGATAATGTGTGATTGACCCCAGCTTTGGTTCCAGGCTGACGCTAAAAGCTTGGTGTTTTCACTACATGTTGCAGCTCTTGCCATGAGTGTTTGCCGGTGGTCGGTCAAGTGCCTGTCCTGTTTGTGTGTGTACACTGACACTCACCTAGGGGTCCTTTTTCCTCTTCAGAGCCATGACCATTTCTTTATTCCTAGAGTCAAAGCCCTCTGGCCATCCAGGTACGCATGGACAAGGTTAGAAAAACTCAGGGCTTGAGAGTCTCTCTTCGTTTGTTTCTTGAAGGTTTCAGAAAGTCGTTTAATGAAGTGTATCCACTTACTAGAAAATTGAACTTGGTACAAGTTGTGGAACGTCTTTAGTTGCGTAAAAGTTCAGTGACAGCTAAACCTTGGGGAACGTGCGTGCTCTTTAAACGCTAACTTACCGTCCCTCTTTCTTCTCAGGTGCTGCTACCCCCGTATGATGATGCCACTGTGAATGGTGCTGCCAAGGAGCCGCCACCACCTTACGTGTCTGCCTAAGCGGAGCTGAGGGCAGCAGCTTGACTTTTTTGACATCTGAGCAGTAGTTCTGTTATTTCACTTTTGCGATGAGCTCTCTGAGCTTGTTTGTTGCTGAAATGCTACTTTTAAAAATTTAGATGTTAGGTTGAAACCTGTACTTTTCAACATATGCTTTACTAGAACACTGTGATAGATGAGCTGTAGAATTATTTCTGTAGGATTCGGGGTGTAATGGGCTTCACTAACCTTCCCCAGGCACTGAAACTTCCCCCAGTTCTGATGGACCGAGATTCAGAGAAGTTCGCTTTTGTACCTGCTGGGCTCCAAAGTTAGGCAGTTAGTCACACTTTTTCTCTCTACTCCCTCTATTTGAAAGTGTAAAATAAAACCAAAAGCAGACAACTTTTTCTTAAGCCATTCCAGTTTAGAAAACAAACCCTTAGCCGGGCGCGGTGGCTCAAGCCTGTAATCCCAGCACTTTGGGAGGCTGAGGCGAGTGGATCACGAGGTCGAGAGATCGAGACCATCCTGGTCAACATGGTGAAACCCCGTCTCTACTAAAGATACAAAAAATTAGCTGGGCATGGTGGCACATGCCTGTAATCCCAGCTACTGAGGAGGCTGAGGCAGGAGAATTGCCTGAGCCCAGGAGGCGGAGGTTGCGGTGAGCCGAGATCGCGCCATTGCACTCCAGCCTGGGTAACAAGAGCGAAACTCCGTCTCAAAAAAAAAAAAAGAAAACAAACCCTTATGAAAACAGGAATGTCAATTGTGTAATCATTGGTCTAATTAGGTAAATAGAAGTCCTTATATATGTATTACAAGAATTTGCCCCACAGCATCCCTTATGGCTTAAGTTCAATGACGATTTGCACTTGCTGGTAAAGGATTTTTCTCCATGGCCTAAATCAAGACCATTAGAAAGCGCTAGGCCGTGGGAGCAGTAACCATCTGATGACTGTTCTCGTGCATCTGGGTCCAGGGACATGGGGTGACGTGCCTGGTCTGTGTTAGAGGGTGGGACGGGTGTGTTTGGCACTGCACGAGATCTGCTGCTCCTCTCCTGGATTCACATCCCGACCCAGGGCCCGCTTTCACTAAGTGTTCTGCCCCAGCCTGGTTCAAGGAGGTCGTCCAGCTGACTTTACCAAGCGGAACTGGGATATATTTCATATACATTTGCCTGACAACACGGAAAAGGGTTTTCCTCCTCCTTTCCCTCCCAGGTACATTCTACCGCTTTGAACTTCCAAGTATACCCAGTGACCTTTTAAAATGTAAACATTTTCAGAAAATTGAAGGTTGCTTTCCTTGTATGCGCTTATTATCTTGACTACCTGAACTGCAAGGGATTTTTATATATTCATTCTCTTCCAAAGTCAGCAACTCTCCTGTTGGTTCATTACTGAATGTGCTATAAATGAAGTCTTTTGCAATTAAAAAGAGATTTGCCCACATCCAAGATGACCTTGTGACTCTGCTGATTGTGTCTGAGGACCTTTCCCCCTACATGTGGCCGGGCAGATGCACACAGTTCAGCCTGAGGAGTAGGCTTTATGGTTTGATTTACGCACAGTGTTTTTAATATCCCAGTGCTGATAAAATCAGCATCTGAGGTCAAGAGGAATGGAGAACCAACAGACTCGAGCTTCCAACATTCCTAACCATGTGTTCAGCTGTTTTGCTTATGATTGCTTTATGTCCATATGCACTTTTAATAAGCAGTTAAGATTTTGCTACATTCCAAGGGAGATTAAATAAGAGAGATAAGGGGGATTTTTATCCCAAGGAATCTGCCTAAGTGTTTTTGTGTGTTTTTTTTTGGGGGTGTCTCATTGGCATTCTTTATAAACTCAACGTAAGTAATTCTGTCCTTGAAGCTTTATGTCTAGAAAATTGACACAAAGTTAAACACATGACTTATTGGGAATGGAGAGGTTCCTGGGGCAGTGACTCATGCCCATAATCCCAATATCTTGGAAGAACAAGGCAAGAGGATCACTTGAGCCCAGGAGTTAGAGACCAGCCTCGCCACATAGTGATACTTCATCTCTATGCAAAGTGTAAAAATTAACTGGGCCCAGTGGCTTGTTCCTGTAGTCTCAGCTACTCAGGAAGCTCAGATGGGAGGATCGCTTGAGTCCAGGAGGTTGAGGCTGCAGTGAACTGTGGCCACGATTATGCTATTTGCACTCCAGCTTGGGTGACAGACTGAGACCTTGTCTCAAAACAAAGAATGGGAAAGGCCTATCAGGTAGTTGATGATCCCTGGGGAAGGCACATAGGAAATCACAGTTGATTGTATGTTATTCCCCATGATTTTATAGCTCTTTGCCTAATCATTTTTGCAGTATGAGAAATGGTACATGATCAGGCAAGCCTTAGTGGCTCACGCCTGTAATCCCAACACTATGGGATGCTGAGGCGAGTGTATCACCTGAGGTCAGGTGTTCGAGACCAGTCCGACTGACCAACATGGCAAAACCCCATTTCTACTAAAAATACAAAAATTATCTGGGCGTAGTGGTACATACCTGTAATCTCAAGTAGTTTGGAAGCTGAGGCAGGGGAATCAACTTAAACCCAGGAGGTGGAGTTTGCAGTGAGCCGAGTGCAGTGTTCGAGTGCCACTGTACTCCAGCCTGGTGACAGTGAGATTCTGTCCCCCCCACCCCAAAAAAAAGGTATCAGGTTTTCAGCAAACCAGGAGCAGCAGAAGTAGTTTATTTTTGTTTTTTTAAGTCATCAATAGTGTAAACACAGCTTTTATTAAGACAGAAACCTTTTAACCCAGGAAATAAAAATTATATGTTCCTTAATGTATGTCAACAGGTAGCAGGTATATTGCTTCAATAGAGCAAAGTTAGTTTTGTAAGGCACTGTGAGATTCAGGGCGGGTTGCTCATAGTTCACCAGCAATGATGGTAGGAGCCATGTTTCTCTCAGGAAAGGCTGAGTGTGGCATCATCCTGGGTGCTACTTGCTAGTCATAGGTCTGGGCTGTGATGTCTTAGCCCCTGCTATCCAGGTGACATGTTCCAATTCCTGGGCTCCTAGATGGGGATGTCCAAGCTGGGCCTACTCAGGGGCAGATGAGGCTTCAACTGTGCCTAAGGAAAGTCCTGGCTCCAAGAAGACAAGGAACAATGGGTCTGTTGTCTGTGACCAGCAACAGCATAAAGGACCATGTTGTCACATGTGGCAGGGACCCCCCTTGCACCTGGTGTGGTAGCCTTTGTGTGATGTCCATTTTATACTTTATATATATATATATATATATATTGCAGTTTAGGTTTTGGGGGGGTACATGTGCAGAACACGCAGGATTGTTCCATAGGTACATACATGACAATGTGATTTGCTGCCTCCATCCCCATCATCTATATCTGGCATTTCTCCCCATGCTATCTCTCCCCAACTCCCCATTCCCCACTGTCCCTACCCTAGTCCCCCCAACAGACTTCAGTGTGTGATGCTCCCCTCCCTGAGTCCATGTGTTCTCATTGTTCAACACCTGCCTATGAGTGAGAACATGTGGTGTTTGATTTTCTGTTCTTGTGTCAGTTTGCCAAGAATGATGGTTTCCAGTTTCATCCATGTCCCTGCAAAGAACACAAACTTACTTTGTATGGGTGCATAGTATTCCATGATGTATACGCACCACATTTTCCCTGTCCAGTCTTATCATTGATGGGTATTTGTGTTGGATCCAGGTGTTTGCTATTGTAAACAGTGCCTCAGTGAACATACGTGTGCATGTGTCTTCATAATAGAATAATTTATAATCCTTTGGATATATACCGAGTAATGGGATTGCTGGGTCAAATGGAATTTCTATATCTAGTTCCTTGAGGAATCGCCATACTGTCTTCCACAATGGTTGAACTAATTTACACTCCCACCAACAGTGTGAAAGTGTTCCTTCTACATCCTCTCCAGCATCTGTTGTCTCCAGATTTTTTAATGATTGCCATTCTAACTGGCGTGAGATGGTATCTCAGTGTGGTTTTGATTTGCATTTCTCTAATGACCAGTGATGATGAGCATTTTTTCATATGTTTGTTGCCATCATATATGTCTTCTTCTTCTTTTTATCTTTTTTTTAAGTTTATTTTTTCTTTCTTTAATTTTTTTATTTTTAGGAGAGACGGGGTTTCATCATGTTGGTCAGGCTGGTCTAGAACTTCTGACTTTGTGATCCGTCCGCCTTGGCCTCCCAAAGTGTTGGGATTAGAGACATGAGCCACCACGCCGAGCCTATGTCTTCTTTTGAAAAGTGTCTGTTCATATCCTTCGCCCACTTTTGAATGGGTTTGTTTGTTTGTTTTCTTGTAAATCTGTTTTAGTTCTTTGTATATCCTGGATATTAGCCCTTTGTCAGATGGGCAGATTGCAAAAAATTTCCCATTCTGTTGGTTGCCAGTTCACTGTAATGATAGTTTCTTTTGCTGTGCAGAAGCTCTTAAGTTTAATTAGATCCCGTTTGTCTATTTTGGCTTTTGTTGCTGTTGCTTTTTGCGTTTTAGCCATGAAGTCCTTGCCCATGCCTATGATATTACTTAACTCTTTTCAACATCCCATGAGGAGGGCACAGCAGCAGTTGTTACATTTTGCAGGAGGAGAGACAGTTGCAGAGGGGTTGAAGGAGTTCCTCGGGTCACACAGCTGATACACTGCCTCACCTGAGGTGTGAACCAGCTCTCCATGACTGCAGGTGCTCTTTCTTGGTACCACACAGACTCCCTAGAGGCTGGTCTCAAGTCTCCTCTTTTGTTAATAGAAAAATAGGATACTCATCATTTTATTTTTCAATTCTAAAATTCTGGGCAGCTTCTCTAGTTTATTTGCGATTCCACAGAGGAGTCTAGCAGGTTTGTATGTTACTTCCTTGCTTACTCATTTTAGAAAATGGGTGATTGTATTCACTCTCAAACTGGTTGGCTGACTTTTCAAAAAGCCGTAGTCTCCCGTAGTGTAGAATCTAAAATGTCAGTCAGGACCTTAAGAGATACGTAGATGAAGAAAAGACAGAATGATAATTGTTCTGTTGATCTCTTGGCCAAGGAGCAAAACAAAAATCAAGTATAAATAACAATAGGTTTTAACTCACTGAGCTGTCTTAATCTCTTAAAATTAAGATAAAAGCCAAATTGTAGATGGCTAGATATAGAATAAATTTTAGTTTCCAAAAAGGCTCCTTCAGCAGTCATATAAGTAATAAATAGATTCTATCGGAGTTCAGAACACAGTGCTCCAAAGCATGGCATCTTGGCTCGCTGAGTACTTTGAACTGAAGGAGATTGGAAAGAGTCAGAACTGGAAGGTTTCTCTGACCTTCTCCTGCCCTCCTGTCTCCCATGCCTCATTCTTTCCTGAATTGAGTCATAGAATCCAGAGTTTCT